TTTATTTTTTAAACAGATGTATACATATAGTACTCGATCTCTACTTTCTATTGATAAAAAAAAATTTCAATTATATTGGATAGTTTTAATACACGGCTCAAAAGAAAAAAGTGGTGCGAGACTTTTGACGTGCACAGTAACATTGGTTAATGGTAGGAGTGTGGGTGGGAATGAATAACAGATCAACACCCACACCCACACCCACACTCTTCCTCAGGTCATCACAGGAACGATAACTGTATACATGACGTGCTGCATTAATAGCCCATAATGCTTCAGCACGTGTCACTTGATTTGTAAAGCTATTGTTCTTATTTTGACGAGTAAGTGTTACCATTGGGACAGTTGATGATGAAGAACCTTGCTGATGTTGAGTGACAGCTGGTTCATTTCGAATAATAAATGTTGAATTTTCCGTTATTAATTTTAAATTACCACGATGTTTTTTATTATTCATGTGTCGTTCAATTGATTGCCAATCTTTATTTCCACAAGATAATTCATCAGTTTTACATAAGATACAAATAAATCTTGATGGACTTGCACCTTGTTTGAATCATCGTTTGACGGGAATACCATCTGAATCCAATTTTTCTAATCAAGAAGTATGGAATTTAGTTGAGTAAAGAGGCATCTTTTTTATTAGAATATGATGATCTGAAAAATTTTTAAGCTTATAATATCGAAAGTTTGATGACTTTGCAATCAAAATGAAAAAAAGGAGGAATACGAGGAGATTTGTAGAAAAAAGAGGAGCGGGAGGGTGTATTTTGGAAAAAAGGAGGAGCATTCACCAGCCAGGATATAGGCTAAATTTATTTAAGTTTTGACAAATAATATCATTCAGTTTTAACAGCAAAGCACCAGAATCTGACAAGTTAAAAAGATGATTAATATCTGCATCGTTCTTTGTGCAGAAGCCGATGAGACTTTTGAGGTTTGTTTTGTAGAAGATGGTGACACTTCTGAGATTTGTGTTGTAGAAAATGAAATTGTTTTGGTGGCATTGTTCATGGGAAAGGCTCTACCAAGAGCGTCAATAAGCAATCGAAGATTATTCTTGATTTGTCGCACGAATATTTGATACTCATTATCATTGTGATGCTGTGCCATGTATTGAAGAGTTTTTCGTTCACACGATTCAATCTGGTTTCTTTGAGTCCAATCACAAAGTGTAGCGTAAGCTTCGTCCGATGAACATGGTCGTTCTACATGAATACTAGGTTGTTGAACCTTACTCATAGCTGTAGTAAGGACATTTATATATTTGTAAAAATCTTCATCCTGAACAATGCTTAAAAACTTGTTGGTCATTGGGCAAGTATTAATGAATG